CAGCCACGCACATCAGGTGATAACAGCAGTGTACAACTGCAATCTACAAGCATCCATGTTCTTTCTGGTTTTCTCCTGTTGAGATCCACTGCCATGCATGAACTTGATGGGCTTTTGTTGCACTCCTCCCATGTGCAGACAGGTTTCTGCTGAAACAAAGCAAACAAATGTGATTAATAATGGCCCTGTTTCACCATCCAGACACTGTGTGCACTGGTAGCTACGGCATACCATAGCATCACTCCAATGACGTTGCATGTGATCTCTTAGTTTATGATGAATCGTGTTTGGAACAGAGTGAGAGGTTCTGAAAAACCGTACCAAAAACAGAGGTTTGAGTTCAAATACTGCTAGCATGCTGCTGGTGCTGGTACCGCAGCGTGCTAACGTTCTGGGATGCTGTCATAGCTTAGCGTCACAGTGAAGTTTGTCGACACTGCCATGGAAACCCAATGGTCTGACACACGCAGCGCACTGCAGTGCTCTGCCATGAAACACCACCCATGAACGTTGGTTGCATGACCAGGATCGAAGCAGTGTGGCAGACAGTGATTTTAATTTTAATTGCACTTACTAGAGATTAACAAGTTGTTGGTGAAATTGCTATTCATTATTCCTATTACCATTGTCTAAATTTCACATTTCAAGACAGCATCAGCATCGACATGTTATATAAATAAGGTTTAGACTTCAGGTGGCCCCGGGTTCCCCGGGTTTTTGCCCGTAGAACAAGGGCAAAAAGTTGTCAAAAAAATATTTTAAAAAATACCTGCCTTTATCAACACCTCATCTACTAAAATCACATATCTCAATACAATCAAACAGAGATGGGTTAAACAACAAGGCCCTAAAAGCAAAAACCGTTTGAATAACAATGTGATTTTTTGCAACCGCTGCACCATTACTGTCACGTACGCTATCCCTAGATTGGTTGCTGGTAAGTAGTGGTTGTCGTCATCAACTCGTCATACAGCAGCTGATTGGGATGGGCGGGGCCTATTTTTATCCAGGCGATAGAGAGAGCCGGCTACATTAAGTTTAACACTTATATATGGCGATAGTGAGACAATTCCAACACAGTCTTTTTTCCTTCACCGACGGCTTTTTAACAAACAGAACCTTAAAAGGATACTCACAAAACACACTGTAAGTAACGAGGAACTCTACAGAGTATTTCGCGATGAAAGCTTCTTTAAATGTCCATAAATTTGTCAAAATAAATCACAACAAACCAGCCCCTTCTCAACAAAAATTTGCAATCATGGCGGCGGCCAACTATGTTTTGTGGCGGCATCTAGGTAGTATACACAACAGTATATCAAATAAATACGTTTTTTAAGTAAGTATCAAGGTGAAAAACAAAATAAACAAATAAAAAATAAAACCTAAATCACGAAGTCTGAAAACTCGAACGAAAAACAAAACAAAAACTTGATCATATATGTTTTATTATACAATTGGTCAAAATCGCTACCTGCCGCAGCTGCGACAAATAAGAAGTGTTCGCTCATTTTCGATCGATGATAATGATGCGTAAAAGTCGCAAAAGTACCCAATGACATTTCAAGTTTACCATGTTTTCTGCTTACGCTGCTAGCGATATCCATATCTTGAAAAGTGCCTAACATAAAATAGCAAGGAAAGTAGCAGATAGTTGTCCACAGAGATTCGGTTGACACGTGGGCATGAATTGAGAATAGATAAGATCAGTTTTGCTGATAAATGGATGGATTTTCTCTTTTTTTGGAAGACAGTGCTAAAGTTAGTGTCACCTATTTTGTATGCTTTCTCAGGCTTTTGATATTGCAGCATCTATGGAGTGAATTTAACAGCAAGGTCAATCCCAGACAGATTCATCAATTCCCATAAGTCAAGCTTTTTTCTGCTGGTAAGTGCTGGGAAGTATAGAGTATGTGACAAATACTTCCTTCAAGTATGCATTAGAGTCACCAATTATGAATGATAATGTTCTTACACATCAGCTTGCAAGATAACTTTGCTCATAGAATGTAGTTAATATAATCATGTAAACTTTTTATAGGTGTGTAATCATGACCTAATTGACTGAGGTGCTTGCTGTTACTGTTAAAATTTGTGCCATAGGTGCTTGAAATCATTATATTCATTGAAAAGAGGGGAGTCATGATTGCCATGTTAATATTCATGCAATTTGAATTGTTCTCAAGATAGTGTAATCAATCATGCTTATTATAGCAATAGACTAAGACAATAACTAGATTGCTATTTTTGACGGGCCGGGCCGGGCTGGGCTTGGAATATTTGCCAAGAGCGGGCTACGGGCTGGGCCGGGCTCTGAACCCATGGGCCCGGGCCGGGCTGGGCTGGGGATTTTGGGGCCCGTGGCGAACACTGCTACTGATGTAAGAGCTGCTTCATACAGCGCTGCAACTGATGCCGCCTATATTATGTTGTAAAGCGTGATTCACACCGGAGAACCGTTACAAATGGCGAGACTGTCGCTGCACGGTGGTAGGTCAGAGAGAGAGCTACGTTAGAATGAGAAATTTCCGAGGGTTTTTTACAATTGAGTGGTTCACTTAGGAACGGGGTTTTAACTTTAAATCACAGATATGGTTATGATTCTACGCCAGAGACGGGCACATCCAAGGCCCTAAATACACATCCTTCAGACTCGGAGATGGGCGGTCCCGTACGTATGACTTACCGTCCAGCCGCTCTGAACGGGCATTATTGAGATCGCTTCAGGTCTGATGAGATGTGAGATGGACGTCATTCGAGCAAAACCGCTGCACTAGTCGCAGACGCTGATTAGATAGTGGTATAGAGGCTAGATAGTGTTTGCAGTGGAAGCTGATGACGCGTTGACCAATCATATTGCCTAGTTCCACCCAGCAGGCCATGACATAGAACGATATGCTGTTGGCGAGCCGTCCGCTAGACCCTAATGGCTGAAATAGGCGCACAAGACTTGACTGATGTAACTATCTTATCCTAGTAGTTCAAAGTTACATCGGTAGCACTTAGCAGTTAAATGCAGTATGGGCTGCTCTTTATACAGAGTTCGTCACAAAAGTAGGTAGGTAGTTACGGTTTCCATGTGAAACACGACCCATTTTGCGAGGTGAAAGCCCATGAGCGACCCTCGCCATCCAACATGACACTGCACTCGAAGGGTTTGCGACATCCTAATGAACTCCAGTCAGTAGTGAAGGCGCTAATGGGAAACTAACGTCTAGATCCGCCACCGTAACGCAGCGCCCAAAATAACCCGAGCATTGCGCAAAAATGAGCGTCAGTAATCAGTGAAACGTATCACTGCCCTTCTCTGCCCTCAGAGCGAGTTCAGACCGACCACTCCGCCGCAGAATCCACTAAATCACTCTCTTCTCATTCCTTCACACTTTGTAAACACGCCAACACGAGCTGGTGGCTCACCAAAGGGTGACCGAACTTCCACTTTCGTGCGCGCGCGCACGGGACTTACCTACTCGCCAGTCACTGCAGCTTACGAGCGCTGGGGCACGAGTCGCTCCACCAGCGGAACGGAACGACCCGGAACGACCCGGAACGAGTGGAACGAGCAGCGGAAATATGATGGCCGCGTGCACCGCGAAAGTTTTGCGCGACATGAGCCATGGCGGAGCGGTGCATGCTTGGACGAGGGCTATATGTTTCATACCGTCTGCACAGTTTTGCTTTGTGGTATTATCTACCATGTAGGTATTCAATGTGATGCATGAACTGATAGCAGTGACATGTTTCTACAGGCTGAATTGATCATCAGCATCACACCAAAGATCTACCATATGATAGATCGTTAGGGTGTGAAAACTGGCAGCGATTATTCGAGATAAATTCGCTTATCTCTCTAGCTTGCTTTCCCCGCAAAGGACCGGCAAATTCCATTTAAACTCACGAAAAACACGCTTACTACTCAATCTGGCTTTGATTTCCTCGTATTCACTTAGATATCGGTTGGAGCCTTGCGATTCTCGCGGCGCTTGAGTTTCCATCCGCCTGCCGCAGAGACTGGTGTTAGTTTCCTACTCTCCACTGCAGTTACCGGAGACTGCAACGCCCGCCCGGGCGAGGAGGTGACTAACACCAGTCACACTGCAGGCGCCTGGCGGTGACACGTCCGAACCGAAACCAAGCCAACCGGCGGTTCAAGCTGAATCAGAATGGGACTTTGATGCTAACTGAAGTGATGACCCAGAACTATAGCCTTTTAGTTGTTGGTTTATTTTCTTTCTTTCTTTTTGCATATATCGAATCAGAAATGAGATAGTGGATGTGTTTTGCGCCTTTTGGAAGGTGAATACTTATTGCTAATTTGATTTTCATATGCATAAATCTGATTATCAGCAACTGACCAAACTATTACCAACAGTAGCGACTGAGGACGGGACTGCCGATGAAGGGACGGGCCGCCACCGACTCCCTCTAACGCACTGCTACGACGGAAATGGCGAGCAAAAACAGCCTCGTGAAACGACTCGCGGCCAGGGACAAAGGCCGACACGCGGATTTCTCACCCGGCTCGCTGACTTTTATGAAGCCGCGTCAGTTTCTGAGGAGTTTTCTCTTTCGGTGGTGGTCACAGCGGAAGGGCACGAGACTTTGTACGGTGGGCGGGCGGGGCGCCGGCGCGGCAAACACTAATGGCCAATCAGAGCGGCTCGCCGGGAGTGATCCGCCAATCAGAGCGGCTCAGTGAGAGTGATCCGCCAATCACAATGGCACGACGTAGGCGGGACAGGCCTGCCGCTTATGAGTTGACATTGCCCTCCGTTACAGAAAACGCCCGTTCCTATGTTCAGAGTGACGCCGAATCAGCGAATCTACTTCACACTCTGTGATCAGACCTGATACGGCACCCTTTACCGGATTGTTAACACCGCAAACCCCTGTTATCCTCGTCCCCTTTCTATGGTATCCCCGTGTCCAGCACCCCTGTGGCTATCGGCCGTACTCGGCCTCCCCGTGTCCCGGTATCGGTGTCGTACTCGTTACTGTCGTTAGTCGTTACTGTTGTTCTCACCGGATATGGCGTCGTCCTCGGACCGCTTTCGTCCCGTCCCCTGGTTGGTACTCTGCATTACCAGGAACGCTGCAATAACGAACATAACGCATAGTCACAGTTGGAATAGAAACGACACGTAGCACCGAAAACAGATGTGCCAGGCAGGACATAGTCATGAGTCATGACTCATAACAATTGATTCACACATAACAATCTGCACAAAACTCATCACTTATCCAGTTGAAACTTGAAAGGGTTCTTCCGAGCTCAGACTATCCTTTACCTACTCATCATTATATTTAAAGTGGAGGAAAAGACCATGGTTCGGACCGATCGCTGACGAGTCCAGTGCAGCCGACCTGAGGCACTTACTGAGGACCAGTCCGGAGGCGATGATGGCGAAGATGGGCGCCCCGACCAGCCCGACGTTCTGCAGGGTGAGCGGGATGCAGCCGCAGTGGGGGTCGTACGCGGTCCGCCGCATCATGGACGGCACGCTGGGGGCGGATGGGGGGGGGGGGGCAGAGGTCGTTAAATGGATCAGCGAAATCAGCGACAGCTACAGACAGACGGATGGAGCTGTCTAGATTCTAGATAGAGGTCTAGATAGATGTCTAGATAGAGGAGCTGTCTAGAAGAGCTGGACATTTATGTAGCCCAGTATAATGAATTCAGTGTGTGTGTCGTGGGGGATTGGGGGAGGGGGCATTGGCCTAATGTCTATGCTAGCCATCGGATAAATTATGACCGAAACTGCGGATGTGCCAAGCAGCTAGCGGTTTCAATGGCTGTGCATTGTGACTGATATGGTTTCACTGAATTTCAACAACTGTGGATTACGAGTGACAGGGATGCATTCGCTGAGTGCTCAAGCCTACACTGTGAATGGTGAAAATCGGCCTAATTGGCGAACGATGTCACCACAAAGCGAGCATTGGACACGCTCATAAGGCTCATTATGCAGCGACTCACAATGGGACGGTCGCCCGTGTGGAACCGGCCGTAAGTAGACCGCAGAGCGCCAGTGGGTGCCATCGACACGCAGATATTTTGTAACGAGACGCATTTAGAATCGGCATCAGTAGTATTCATAAGCAGCGGCAAAAGCCTTGCTTCGTGTGAAAGAAATGTTACAGAATTCCAATCAAATTGAGACCTTTGCAGTTTGCAACAGAATAGGTATTGTTGGGTCACCCAGCATTTCCTTTGGCAACAATACCTACTTAGGTAATATAATTACCTTAAAAATGAATTGTTTTACGCTTAACTTTAACGGGTTACCGTTAACATAATTGTTTGCCTTGTGAAGAAAATGGTAAACTAACACTGGCCCACGCCCAACAGTCAGTACGTACCCTTTGGTAACAAAGTGTCGCAGTCCCTTGAACATGTTCTTCATGCGCTTCCTGTAGGAGCTGGCCCTGCTGCCCCCCTTGCCGGAGGACCGGTCCTCCATCGGGTCTGCCTGGAACACCTTGGTGAGCGGCTGGAAGGGCCCCAGGTCCACCATGGGGAGCAGCGCCGCCGCCGTGGACAGCAGGTCCCCCGCTCCCGGCAGGTCGCGGGTGGCCTTCACGGCGGAGCTGGACACGCTGGAGGAACTCTCGGTGATGTTGCTAGATAAGGAGCTGTCTGATTCTGAGCCCACCAGAGGAAGTGCCGGACCCGAGTCGCTCCGGTCGATATCTGAAGGCGCGGTGAGGTCGTCCACCAGATCCATACGTCGACTGAGTCGGTAGTTGAATCCGAGCGGATCGTCGAACGTGTCCAGTCCGTCCAGGACTCCGTGGTTGAAGAACGCATCTGATCCACCCGATCCGTGCGTTCCGAACAGGTTATGATCTTTTGGAAGGTCATGGTTGAAGAACGTATCTGATTCACCCAACCCCTGCGTCCTGTAAGGGCTGTGATCCTGAGGAAGGTCCTGTTTGAAGAATCCATCTGTAGTCCCCGATGCGTAGACTCCGTACTGATTGCTGTAGTCCTGCGGCAGGTCGGGTGTGAAGGGTCGCGGCGGCGGCGGGCGGAACACTGGTCTCCGCGCCTCGGGTGGCACCACCGGCAGGCCCGGATCGCGCGGCGAGTGACGCATCGGAATGTCCATTCCGTCGAACGAGTACATATGGACGCTGCCTGAAGCCTGGGAGTCCTGGCCCGCGAACGCTGCCGATCGCCTCCTGCGCTGGTGGTTCGTTCCTGAGGAAGTTGAGCCCTCGGCTCCTGCCTTCTTGACGATCTGATGTTCTGGCGCAGTTGGTTCTCCGAGCTGCCTCGCCACCCTGGGGCCCAGCGTCTGCATCTCCTGCTCCAGCCGCTTCAGCTTACTCCTCTTCACATCACTGAGTGTCGTCAGAGGCAGTTCGTTCGTCTTCCCAGCCCCCCGACTCTTCCCCTCCTCTCCCTCCTCTCCGTCTCCGTCTCCCTCTCCCTCTCCGTCTCCAACCCAGACGGTGCCGTTCCACATGCCCTCGGCGTCCGTCCCCAGAGAGCACGCCTCCTGCAGCATCAGCCTCGCCAGCACCGCCCGCTCCGAGCTCTCCACTGCCCTGCCGAAGCCGTTCGTGTTGTTGGTCGCCAGCGCGTACACGTAGGCGATCAGTCCGGCCGCCGCCACGCCCGCCACCAGCACACCCAGAACGTTCTTGTTGTCGATACAGCGGCACTTTTTCGGGTAGGTGGTGAGCGCAGCCCCGTACTCGTAGTAGTTGTGTTGGGGCGTCTCCACGGCGCTGTATGGGATGGGCTTGACGTGACCGCGCCCACCACCGAACAGGTAGTTCTTCAGTCGCCGGAACGGCCGCAGGAGGGTGTCGAGCAGGCCGGGACGCTTCTTGTGGTGGGTGATGTAGACGGGCTGCGCGTGGGGGATGTGCTGGGGGGCGTACGGCACCGGCACGGCCTTAATGTGGGGAGGGCCGTACTGGGAGGCGTCATGGGGCTTCCCGTACGAACTGCCGTAGCCTTCCTTTGGGTGAGAGTGGCTGTCTTTCGAGTAATGGCTGTCCTTGGAATGAGAGTGGCTATCCGTGGAGTACGGATGACTTTCTGTGGAGTAGGAGTGCGTCTCGTGGTGCTCCTCCACGTGCTGTGGCTGATGGTACTCAGTCGTCACGTGCGCCGGCTCGTGGTGCTCCTCGTACACGTGCTCCTCCACGTGTGTCACGTGCACGTCGGGCGGCGGCGCCACGTAAGACACCTCGGCGTGGTGCGGCCCGCTCACGGGAAAGATGATTTTACCGCCGCTGCGCGGTCTCTCCGCGCTGAGATGCTCCTCGGGACTGACATGCGCCGGCGGTGTGTAGCCCACCACGGGCTCGTGGCCGCCGATACCGATATGGACCGACACGGCGGCCGGACCGGGCGGCGCCACGAGCGTCTCCACGTGCGGCGGCGCCACGATCGTGGCGCTGTGCGGTGTGACGGCGGGCGCCAGGTGGACGGTGGGTGCGCGAGGATCGCCCGGCGGTAGCACCGCCGACTGGAACCCGCTGCGGATGTAGTTCTCGTGGAACAGCTGGCCGCGCGTCTGGTGAGAGTGGTCCAGGAACGATCGCGTGGTCGTACTGTCTGCGAACACGTCACCGGAGACGGCGCCCTTCGGCGGCCCGAACCCCACGACTCCCCCGCCGCTGGGAGCGGTGATGTGACGGGCGTCCCCAAAGTCTGTCTCGTGTCCCTCCCCGCCATGTGAAGACGAATCACTGGTCTCAGGGTGTGCCTTGAGCGTCGAGCTGGAGCCGCCGCGGGGTTTCGGAGTTCCGTACGAGTGGATGTCGTGTGGCACGGGATAGCTGGTGCCCACGCCGATGACGCGCTTCCCGTCCTCGTGGCGGACCGAGCTCGTCCGAGTTTTACCGTCGAACGCGTGCAGCCCGCTGCTGACCCCCACGGTGATGGAGACGCCGCCGCCGTCCTGATGGTCGTCGCTGAAGTCGAAGTTGTAATCCTCGTCGCCGTAGTTGACGTCGGCGTCTTTACCGTCGGAGCCACCCTTGCTCTTCAAACCGTCCTTGGCCTTCCCCTTGACAGGCGGTGCCTCTATGATGCCCTTCCTGATGTCGTCGTAGAACAGGGTGCCCTTGGCGTCCAGGGTGTGCGCCGCGATGTCGTTGTTGAATCCGCCGGATAAACTCCGTACCTGGTGAACCCCGGACGCCGAGTCCGAGCTCTCCGAGTCACCGCCCTGTTCGGACTCCTCCGAGCGCGCGGCGTCAATCCTGGCGCGCAGCTGACGGAGCTGGCGCGCCAGCTGCGCCAGTTTGGCGGGAGACAGGTGGTCGCGCGACTCTCGGACCAGTTCAACGACCCGCCGGATCTCTGCCAACTGCTCGGCAGAAGGCAGCTCCCTCGCCCCCCGCGGGGTCTCCGAGACATTCCCCCTCTCCACCGTCTCAGCTCTCGCCAGCACAACCACCACAGCTGTGACGAACAGCACAGCGCCGGTGCGCGCCGCGGAGCCGGCCCCAGCCATGACCTCAGTGTGACACGTCCCGGCCGCGAGTGGCGAACCCGGCGCAGAGAGCGGCGCGCGGAGGGCCGGACGCGCTCTGATACATTGCACGGCCGCTGCGCGCCGCGCGCCGGAGCGCAGCGCGCGCGCCGACTTTTTGCCCGCGCCCGCCGAAAGTGCGCGCCACCGTCCGTATCGGACGCAGCCGCGCGAGCACGCCACTCTCTCTCTCTCTCTCTGTCTCTCTCTCTCTCTCTCTCTCTCTCTCTCTCTCTCTCTCTCTCTCTCTCTCTCTCTCTCTCTCTCTCTCTCTCTCTCTCCCCCTCTCTCTCTCTCTCTCTCTCTCTCTCTCCCTCCCTCTCACTCTCTCTCTCCCCTACCTCTCTCTTTTTCTCTCTCTCTCCCTCCATCCCTCTCTCTCTCTCTTCCTCCCTCCGTCTCTCCCCTAACGCTCTGTCACTGACAGCATTCGAGCAGCACACGGCTTAGCGATCATATAGAGAAATTAATACACCGAGTCCAGTTCAATAACAGGAGATATCAGCCCTGATTCAATACTCATCACTTCACCAGTCTGCGTACAATCGCGCCGGATGTGATTCAAAACACGCCGAACAGTATTACCACAGCCAACGGACCGTATCTCGCGTAATAGGCGCTCATGGTTATTTTATAACACGGGATAGAATCGCCGGGATTGGGATCGAGGCAGATTGATCGCGGGCATTTTCACATTAAAATCCTCCTAGGCCTAACCCACGACAAACGAACAAACGATTTCTTATAACGATGGCGAGTGAGCTTTGGCATCGCAACTGAGCCTACGCCCCATTTTCGAATGAGTCACAGTCGTGACAAGACATTCCATAACCCAAGTTGTGGTGCTAAGTTCGGTTTATTATGCCTTCAGTCACGGCGGAATACTCAAAACAGAAAAATACCGCACCGCGAAACAACACTACCCACATTCCTGGCAAGGTTATATGGCACGCCCAATGACAATAACAAAACCAGGACTGTTTCAACAAGATCAATCTATCGTACCAAAACACGGATAATATACAGTTATACACTTTACAGGTAAACCGAGAGTGAAATATCGTGCACAGCCAATTGATCATGCAAATGTCAGGGCGAACACTCTCCAGGCCGCCATCCTGCCAATATTTAACACGGACGGGTGACGGGCAGATCACATATGAACTCGTAGTGGCCCACACACGGGTGTAAATCGAACGCTGCACCGCTGAGGGAATTCATACGGCAAGGTCTTCTTACCCATTGCCGCGTCTGTCTATACAATGGTTCGGTCGAGCAGCTGCCAAATAGATACATTCAGCTGTGGGCACAGGTCTCCCCTATCTATCAGTGTTGATTCACTCTAGAGCCCCAGTTCCAGTCACCCGCCGTAGCGTCCCCACCAGTCCCTGATCCTACGATTGTCCGCCGCCCGCGGCGGGGGTCGGTTTCCGCAGGTATCGTAACTTGGGCAGCAGCCGATTCTTCTGCAGAGAGTCCAGGAGCCAGACCTCACTAACGCTCTCCACGCCTCGCACCGGGCGGCCCACGGCGACGGTGGCGCCTCTGGCGGCGGCGGCCACAACCCCGCCGGCCAGCCGCACCAGGCTGACCAGCGCCTCGGCAGGCGGCTGGGTCTGGCCGGAGATGTATACGGCGCCGGCGCCAGCAAACAGGTCTAACCCGGCCCGCCCGGCGGCGGCGGCGGCGGCGCGCTGGGACGGCGCCGGGCGGCCGCTGGGCTCCCCTCGCTCCCCGCGCTGCCCCTCACTCTCCCCACCGTCCCCACCCTGCGCCGCCGCCACCCGAGCGCTGAATGTCGTCTCCGTCAGCCCGGTATCGTCCACCGGAGCGGGAGGTGCTATGGAAGGCGGGTCGCGCGCACAGCGGCGCTCCCAGCCACCGGGCCAGTCGAGCCGCTGTTCGTAGCACTCCTCGGGCAGCCAGCGGCCGGCCTCGAGAGAGGAGAGCACCCACTCGGGGGAGAGTAGCCACGCGCCGACCGCCAGCGCGCCCAGCACGGAGAGAGTGCGCCGTGGCTGGCCGCTGACCACGTGGGTCGTGGCGGCCGTCACCTGACGGGGGACAGGGGGTCAGTGGTGGGGTCACTTGAGGGTGGAGACAGGGGGGTCAGTGGTGGGTCAGCTGACGGGGGAGACAGGGGGGATAGGTCAGTGGTGGGGTCACCTGAGTACGGATACGGGGGTTAGTTATAGCGGTCACCACTAAGAAAAGACAGAGGATAGGTCAGTATTAGGGGTTAATACTTAATAACTGCATAGCATGGCGAGAGAAGGGGCGAGCCAGGCATGAGAGACTTCATCTCGAAGTACAAAACATCTGAGCAAATCCCTCCTCCCGCTGATTTCGACCTCAGACGGGCGTTACCAAACAACACTCTCCCCCAGAAGCTCACTGGAAGGGCGCCGAACAACACGCTCTCCCAGCTCACTGGATCGCCCCTACCTCCCGCAGATCAGACCTACCTCGTCCACGAGCGTGACGCCGCCCAGCCGACTGATGATGGGCGTCAGCGTGCCGCGCTCCACAGAGTGCAGGTTTGTCAGCACCAGCCGGGCGCGCGGCGGCAGACGGCCGCCCGACACCGACTCAAAGTCGAGCGAGCTGCGCCGCGGGCCGGACAGCCGCCGCACCGAGCCGCCGGTCGCTCTCGGCGCTCTACCAGAGCTGTCGGTGCTGCTGCCGGTGCCGGCGCGGCCGGTCCGCCGCCGCCGCCGGCCGGTCTGAGCCCCCAGCGCCGGGTGGGCGCCTCCGGACCGCGCCGGCGGCCCGGCCTCCCCAGCAGGAGTCACAGGGTTCAGCAGCGGGCCGCGCAGCAGACTCTGTGACTCCGGCGGAGTCATGAGTCGCCGGCGGCGGCGGCGGCCGGCCGGCACCGACTCCGGCCCGCCCGCCACACTCCGGACAGGACTCGAGTCAGACTCGGAGTCGAGGGGGAGGATCCGCTTTAATTTTGACCGCGGCGCTGGCGGTTTCCAAGCCGCAGCTCCGTTCGGGAGGTTGGCAGAGGTGGAGGGCTGCGCGGTGACTGATGTTGACGCTCTGGTGGTTCGTTTCTCGGCCGATGAGCTGCTGCGGCTGGCGCGGGATGATTTCGATCTGTCGGAGCGGCGCTGTCTGGACTCCAGTTCTGGCGAGGCGGAGATCTGGGCCGCCAGCTGAAACGGCGGGAGAGGTGATCAGAGTCAGACAGAACGGGGATGTCAAAATGGCCAAACAAACGGCCTAAAGACTTGGAAATGAGGTTAAAATGAGGTTGAAATGAGGCTGAATGAGGTTGAGACTGATGAGGTAAAAGAGAGTTTGAAGATGTTCAACGCTGTTCATTTTCTATCAAACACGCCATTTGCCACGAATACGTTACGAGAAAATCTAACAAAGAAGCAGGATAAAAGGATTGCCTAGCCGAATCCAAAACTATAAGGAAGCCACGACATTAGCAGTGCGACACAAAAGGAAAGGCTCAACAAACGTGAAAGAAGCAGCCACACACGCACAAAAGGCTAAAGCACATGCGACACAAAATGAACACCAAAATACAAGCACGACACTGAGCGTAGAACGGTTCGCGTGTCTGCCAGCAATGCCAAACACCTCTAGCACGATACAGAAGGCTTACTGGTTGGGTTAGGGTCGTTTTCAGCGTTTTCAATGAGTTGCTGTTAGTCGCAACTAGGCAGAATAGGGAAGAGAGGAGCAGGGCTAGAACAAACGGTCGCCCAAACACATCATTTGAGCACACATTCGAACACGTCACCATATATGGACGTTGAACAATGCACATCACTTGTCCAAAGAGACACAGCACTCGGAATTATTCCCATTAATCCAAAACATTACGCTTCCGCACGAGTGCACGTGACAGTTCTCACTTGTACAAACTACAATGTATCAATATTCCCTGAATATAACTGTACTACCAGTGGGTCGTCGATCTGCTATCACAGAACTATACGAGACCCCAATCATATCCCGTGTCTTTCGTTGGCTCTGAGCTGCTCTGTTTACCTTGGCGGTGGGTGACCCGGTGCTTCGAACGGCGCCTCCCGTGGACCACGCGCCCGTCGGCGACATGAACCTAGAAACGGAAACACACGGAAACGGTAACGGAAACGGTAACGGCCGCCTGGGAACGGAAACACGCGGTGGGTAACGGACATGGGAACGGAAACACATGGTGGGTAACAGGAGGGTAACGGGACGGACACGGAACAACATACATCATTGCGGAAACACACATGAGCGACACTACGACACAAAGGAGGTGTCTGTGAACGAGCGATTGTCTATTTCTAACGGAAATATGAGAACTGAAAGCACGTGAATATCCTCCGGTTGTGCCATAAGTCGTGACCTCAGCAGTGACCTCAGCAGTGACCTGAGCAGCGACCTCAGTGACCCCAGCAGTGACCTCAGTGAACTCAGCAGTGACCCCATCAGTGACCTCAGCAGTGACCCGAGCAGTGACCCCAGCAGTGACCCCAGCAGTGACCCCAGCAGTGACCTCAGCAGTGACCCCAGCAGTGCCCCCAGCAGTGACCTCAGCAGTGACCCCAGCAGTGACCTGACCGGCCGGCTCACCTGTTGAAGAGACGCACGTTGAGGGGCAGCTCGTCCTCTGAGGAGCCCGTGTCAGCGGTGACCTGAGCTGACCTCTGACGGCCCCGCGGCGTCAGCAGCTCCTCCACTGTGCGGCGACCCCAGCGCTTCGGTGACGTCATCGCCGGCCGCTGCACCCACACAACGGGGGAAGGTGACGTCATAGTGCACATCGAGCAGTGACGTCATACGCAACAAGGTGGCGTCATACACAGACATACAACGGTATAACGTCATGCTATTAGTGACACCTGTCTATTAGTGATCGTGACATGAAATATCGACGCTTTGGGTCGGCTGATACATGGGACGCCGAGGAAGCCAATTCAGCTGATCTGTTCCCCATAACCCCCCCCCCCATTGGTGTCACCTTCTGACCCTCCCCCCTCCTCCCCCGGCCTGGTTCCGTACCAGTGATGTCAATTACAGAAAATCAGAATACCGATACCAAACCAAATACCAACCAAAACCACGGGGAAATACCGACACCAAACCAACTTGGGAAACTGAGGGAAATACCAACTTTTTACCAAGTTAAGGGCCTCTTATACATTAATGAGGATTCATAATACCAACAAAATACCAAAACCATTAGGACTTAAATACCAAATACCAAGTTGGCATCGGTTTGGTATCGGTATAACCGCAGGTTGTTTGAAAAAAAGACAACACTATTCGTTAGAATTGTGTCTTCTATTGAAAAAAAAAAACGGAAAACCGGAAGTCGGTATCCGATTGACGTCTCTAATCTGTACCTTTCCGGGCCTCGTCTGGCCGCCGGGCGGCTGGCGGCCCTGCTGCCTCCGTCTGCGCTCAAAGCGTCGGTCTGCAGCGGCCATCTCCTCATCAAAGTCACGCGGCTGCATGGAGCGCAGCTTACGGAGCCGGGCCGGGAACAGCGGCGACTCGTACCTGGCGCCGAGAGAGAGCGGTGAGCAAGGCGGGAGAGAGCAGTGAGCACGGAGAACACGGTCTGTTGGTGAGGACACGTGAGCAGTTTGGAGGACCGCGACACGACAGCGAGTTGTGAATTGACCGTCTGCAGTAGGAGGCCGTACGACGCATAACATATTTAGAGAGGAATGATTGGATGATATTTAACAATAGCAAGAACCGACAGCCGACTGTGGGTTCTTGGAGGCTGGTAGGGTGTCACGCAAGATCCACAAAGCGAAAGAACCAGGGATGCGGAGCCGTGGAAATTTCAGACGGCTCCGGCTCCGGCTCCGGCTCCGGAGAAAAAATCGGCTCCGGCTCCGGCTCCGGCTCCGGGTGAAATGTTATGGCGGCTCCGGCTCCGGCTCCGGCTCCGAGTAAAATGGTCCGGCTCCGGTGGCTCCGGCTCCGGCGGCTCCGGCTCCGACTCAGTACATCCCCTATGCAATCAATTAAATACGGGTGGAATAAAAATTGGATGGGTTATACGCGTTACTCTTTGCCATGACCGGCTCATCGCGTCCCCGCGCAAACGCACCTCGGAGAGAACTGGCAGAACAAAGGACTAGGAAGCGATGGCATTGGAAACGCAGTCGCCGCGAATCGGAGTTCACTGAACCATCGTAAGCTGACACCCGTCTCGGCTGCATTGGGGGGGGGGGAGGGGGGGAAGAGACGGTGCTGGGAGTCGCAATCCACTGCACTGGCTTCAAAACAATGGCCGTCACCTGATGACCGGTCCTCATGTTCTGGGGATGCAGTAGACGTGGGGGGGGGAGGGGGAGGAGCAGACAGGAAGTTGATTGCGTACTGTGGGATACTGGGGATATTCGGCTCTTTCATTCACTTGATGGCCCATGACGTACCTACTTACCATATGTTGTACTGCCTTGTACTGTCAAACCGAACTAGGTCAATTATTTTTTTTCCTCTTCAAAAAATAAAAAGGAGCCGGAGTCTTTTTTGGACTTTTTTGGCGGCTCCGGCTCCGGCTCCGGCTCCGGGCTATATTGTTTCACGGCTCCGGCTCCGGCTCCGGCTCCGGGCAAAATATACCGGCTCCGGCGGCTCCGGCTCCGACTCCGGCTCCGGCTCCGCATCCCTGGAAAGAACACTACCGAAGCACCGAGTTCTTCAAGCAAAACGCGTGTTTCCGCCCGGGATCGAACCGGGGACCTTCCGCGTGTTAGGCGGATGTGATAACCACTACACCACGGAAACACCTGACAGGCTGGACCTCAATCAGGGATCACATCAAAGGAGGGCTGGCATTCACAGGGTATAATTAGATCGTGAGGTAGGTGTGGCCCGTCAAATGTAGGTCACAGCCAAAGATAACACGGCGGTGCATGAGAATCTGACCTCAAACATCCCAACCGGGGCTGTAGCTCAAGTGGTAGAGCGCTCGCTTAGCATGTGAGAGGTACGGGGATCGATACCCCGCAGCTCCAACCTTTAACAGAATCTTTTGTCATGGAAATTTTCATTAATGTCTGAAGCGAAAGGGCTGGTGCTGTTATCCATTACCCTATTGCGTATTCAACTGCGCACAGAGCCCAGTGGGGATGCAAAAGAAGGAGGTATTATACTGTTGCTTCCAATTCACCTCAGTTCCATGTCTTTCCAATTCCATGTCTTACCATTACTGAGGCCTACGTTCAATCCAGGACAGGCACAAGCGTACGATAAAAATGAATCAGTAGCTACTGGCCTGTGATGAAAAATGCGCATGTAAGTCCCTAAAAACATTCAAACCGTTTATAAAGAACAACTCGACCACCATTTCTCAACAGGGGCTGTAGCTCAAGTGGTAGAGCGCTCGCTTAGCATGTGAGAGGTACGGGGATCGATACCCCGCAGCTCCAAGCTTTTCGCATGTTCGAGAAATGATGGTGATTGACACGAGCAAACCCGCAATACGGTTTCTCACCAAAAATAAATTATTTGTCTTCAGCCTAAATACAAATAAACAGAAGCTTTTCAGGTATTTAAGGTTATCGTTTAAGACACATTTCTCCGATGAATCAGACACTAACACTTTGCAACAGAAGTGATCCAGAAGTGATCCATCCAAATCAGTAGTAATTAGTAAACATAGCATCGTATAACACTATACCTTTACAAAACATAACAGCAATAAACATTTGCACCCTAGTGTTAATGCACGCAACTACAGTTTTCATTTTCTGCCGACAGATGTCCCCCAGGCCGTTTCCGTTTTCCGCCGACAGATGTCGCTGCGGTCGCTCACCTTTCGGCGGCTGCCGGCGGGTAGCGGTTCTCCTCCACTCTCTCTCGCTGTCGGCGACACGCGTCCACCCAGAGCACTGAGACTAGGCGCAGACGGTCGCGGCGGGCCCGGTCGTACGTGGCTTTGGAGCCGTCCTGGGGGGGGGGGACGGCGGGGGGGGGGGGGGGGTCAGCCACGGGCGGACAGTAGCAGTGACCTTGGTGGATAACCTAGCGGCTAGCATGACCTTGGAAGTGACCCCAATAATGACATCAGTGGCGACTTCGGTATCGACCTGACCTGTGATCCCAACAATGACCCCAGCAACGACCTCAGCTATGTCCGAACAATGTCCGGAAGTACCAAAACATAACACCGGCACACACAGCACACATCTCTTCCTTTCCCGCGCCTCTCCCTCCCGCTACGGCCATCGTCCACTCCAAACGCCAGCCAGCAGCCACCCCCCCCCCTCCTCCCTGATAGAAGATCCCCTTTCCCCAGCAGTCGGTACCTCTAAACGCCAGCCACTACGCCCCCCTGCCCCCCTGATAGAAGCTCTCTGTCAGTCGGTACCTCTAATCGCCAGCAGCCATCTGCCACCCCGCCCCTGATAGAAGCTCCCCTTCCCTTCCATCGGTAACTCTAAACGCCAGCAGCCATCTGCCACCCCCACGCCCCTGATAGAAGACCGCCTCCCTATCCGTCAGTACCTCTAAACGTCAGCCAGCTGCCCCCCCCCCCCCCCCTTTGATAGCTGAAGACCCCCTCCCCTTCCGTCGTTACCTTGAAGATGACGTGGGTGACATGTTTGGTGAACCGTTCGACGACCAGGGCTCCCAGAGCGCGCAGCTGGGTCCGGATCGGCTCAGACCTGCCGGGGTTCGCAGAGACGCGGTGATGGGACGGTAAGGTAACATGTCAGTGCAGTGCTTTGATGGGAGGTAATACAGGCGATGCGTCATTATAACTCCACTGCACGGGCGTCACTTCCTGAAAGTTAATTGGCAAGGCTATCAAATTAAGAGGTTAACCTTTGAGAATGCAAAGCTTCTATTAACACGCTCCAACGACTTACGACATTATGAGAAAAAAATGATTGCGCTGGGACCCGACCAGACTTAATAAAGCCGACAACCTTCCCGTGAGATTAAGACGCGTGAAGCATTGCATATCCACTCAATGAATGCGTTATCATAAAATATTGACAATAAATATGTAAGGAGTTGACATATCTATGTCTACATCTATATCTATGTAGGCGCCAGTTTATACTGACGTTCCCTGACTGACCAGTTTATACTGACGTTCCCTGAGTGACCAGTTTATACTGACGTTCCCTGACTGACCAGTTTATATTGACGTTCACCGACTGACCTGTTATCGGCACCGGAGCGGACGTCCACGTAGGCCACCACCTCATCCAGCACCAATTTTGAGGCTGGCTGGGTAGAGGCTATCTCATCCTCGTCCTCCCTGGCGGCCGCCGGCGAACTACAGCCTGCCGCGGCCGCCGGTAGGTGGCTCTGTCCGCCGCCCGCCACCGGCGAACTACAGCCTGCCGCGGCCGCCGGTAGGTGGCTCTGCCCGCCGCCCGCCGCCAGTCGGGGCGAAGTTCGGGTCCGCGGAATCTGGTTCTCCCGGTCGGTCGATGTGCACGGGTTTAACCGCGCGCGTGGAGAGCCCGCGGCCACCTCTGAGTCGCCGCCGTTGACCTCACCATTGGCGTTCTCTGGGTAGTGTCTGATCGGGACGACCGGAGACACGATACTCTGAGTCGCCTTCCGCGGTCCTGTCGGTGATTTCCACGGCTCCGGCGGACCGGGCGCCTGCCCGTTGAGTTCCCTCTCGGTCAGAGGAGCTCTGCCCTCCCCCGGCTGCGCGATCTCGCCTCGCCTCCTGGCAGACACGGGGGTCACCTCCCCTCTCGCCGGTCCTCCCGCCGCCCTGCCCTGGGGAGTCACTGAGCGCGCGCCGGCCCTGACCCGACTGCGCGCCTTCTGACGGACTAGCGGCGAGCCCGGAGAGCGCGCCAATTCAGCCAGCTCAGAGAGCACGCGCTCGCCCGGCCGGCGGCCCACCACGTGGCGCGCGCGCGCTGCCACAGACGTGTCGGCCGTCACGTGCGCCGGCGGCAGGCGGCACGGCGGCGCGCCGGCGGGAAGCGGTGGCGCGTGCGCCACGCCGCTGTCCTCCTCGGCGGCGCTCCCCGCGACCGTCACCAACTCAAAGTCCAGCACGCGTTTGGGTCGGAGCGGCTCTGTGCAGCCCTCCGCGTCCCCGCTGGCCCCTCCGGCGCCGCTGCGGCCGGCGGTACCATTCGGCACTCGTCCCCCGCCGTCCGCGCCACCGTCCTCAGCACTGAGGTCCGTGTCCCCGCGCAGAAGAGTGATGACGTCACTGATCCGGCCGCGCAGGTCCGACTCGAAGATGTCATCCTCGTCGCTGTCGAATGTTCCGGGCGCGCCGGCCGGAGGTCCGGACCGGGCCGGAGCGGGCCCGGAGGTGCCCGGAGGCCGGCCCGGAGGTGTGTCGGAGGTCGAGCGATGTCCACCGATCTCGGGTGAACTCCCGTGGTCGCTCAGGGCTAGCGTCAGACTGCGCACACCCGAGCTGGCGCTGTCCGTCTGCCGGCTCGTACTGCTGACGGGGGCGTGCTGTGGGGTGGTATTCTCGCCCTTATTGACCCCAGATCCTGAGGGTGTGTTGGTCACAGCGCGCCGGCTCAGAGGCGTGGTGACCGTGTTGGGTCTCTGCTCCGACTGTGCTGAGGTTCTTCCTCTCTCCCCCGGGCTCTTCCCCAGAGCTCCGCCTATTGCACCGCCTCCGCCGGCCGTCCGTGACGGCTGCAGCCGCTCCGTGACGCAGTAACGACCGTCCGCGTCACGCTGGAGCGTTGCCGGCGGCACGTGACCCGTCACGGGACTGTCGGAGAGCCGCGGCACCGGCCGGCGCCGGGCCGAGACGCGCCGAGACGACATACCAGGCAGCCTGGGAGGAGACAAAGGGAGTTACAAACATTACACTTGAGACTTATGAAACATGCACAACTTACTCTTAGGCTATGATTAGAGAATCCATACCTGAAATGAACTAAAAAAAAGAATTAATTTATAACAAAAATCCACGGTAGTTATAGTAAAGCAGGTACTTGTTTTTTTTCCAAGGCCGGGTGGGGATGAGGTGCTGTAGGTTAGGTTGTATGTTTTAAGTTTTGGGTTGTTGGTTGTAGGTTGAAGGCTTGGTTGTAGCCTGTAGGTAAGGTTAGGAGAAGGTAGGTTAGGTTGGGCTTGGTTTCAATGCAGAGATCAAAATTCACTTTTCATCATCATTTGTGGCTCAACAAACAAATTATGACAGTGTATCACAAGTTATATAACACATCATTAACATGACAAAAAGCACACAAAAACGCGAAATAACAATAAAAACCACATCTAATTATCTAAAGCCAAATCAAAATCAAATTAAATAAGTAATAGACACGACCAAAGAACAGATACAATATATTGTGCTATTTAAGAAGGGAATGTACCTAAGTAATTTCTCATGTGTAATTTCAGGTAGGTACTTAATAAGCATTGAATCTAAGCTATGAAAATGCCAGATACACGCAAGAAAGCCTCACCTATTGTGGAGCAAAATCAAATGAAATTATGCTAAAACGCGCGTATTGATTCGAGCAGCGTGATATGTGGCGCAGTTGTACTAAGAAATTTCAAAACTGGCGCACACTACTGAAGGGAAAACTTCAAGGTGAAGAGTTTTTTCTCTTTTTAAATTTGATGATTTTAATTTCTTAAAGCTTATTAGCATGCTGTTTTATTAAATTTACGTATTCAAAAATGATTTTGGAATTATTTTGATGTTATCAAAGAAATTAATAAATATCTCGACTCGAATTCCATCAAACAATTTTTTTCTACTTTCCCGAGAAAGGGATATGGTATCATATTTTAGGTGGCAAATTTGAATCGATCAGCTGTTGCCGAGAAAATTGAAATGCGGTGTGGGCTTTTGAAATCGCGCGACAAAACATACCGATAAAATATTTGTTTTTTTATTAGGTGGTGTTTTGCATCTTTCCAGTGCCAGCTTCTGTTGTCAAGGGTCACGTTTTTTCATTTCTGGCCTCAGAGTTTTTTGATTATCTACAAGCACCAGGGGAGCAGGTAAGCGTGTAGGAAAATGCATTTTATCAGTTGATTCAATTGGCATTGACCAAATCCTTAATGTGCCAATGGCTCAGATTCAACATGCTCATTTGTACCCCATGATTTCTCGCCTTACTGTTTTTAATTTCAAATCAATTTATAAAGTTTCCGTTCAAAGCTAGTTCCGAAGGTATTTGTCCCTCTCCCTCTCACTCAATCCCTAGCTTGCTCTCTTCGTCTTCCTACCTCACCCACTTTGGCTTAGGTTAAATTTCCCTCCATGACCTCACTGCTCCCTGACCTCACCACGGCCTGTGACCTCGCAGCCCTCTGACTGACCTCACCTCTTCCCCCAGGTGACGTCACACCACCGCCACCATGCCAGAGAATGTGGGCTCGCCGTACGCGCCGCTGGAGGGCCTCTATGAGCTCCATGAGACTATCGGCTCGGGCGGCTTTGCCAAGGTGAAGCGGGCCACCCACCTGGCCACGGGAGAGCAGGTGGCCATCAAGATCATGGACAAGAAGCAGCTCGGGGTGAGCAGGGGGATCACTGTGTGCTTAGTGTAAAATGGAGATTGGGGACTCGAGTGTTGATCTCCTGAGCCAACAGCGGTGGTGGTAAGAATAAACGATAGTGCCGGAGCTGATTGTGTGGGGTCTGTATGAGCCGTTCCGTCTCACGGTCTCAATTTGTCACTTTCTGACGATAATGTACTGCGGGCATTGATAATGATAAGACAAGGTGGAATAAAGTAAGTGACCAACCCTCGAAGATAGCATGGGTTGTGACAAATTTGTGTGCGATATGACCAAACGGGTTACTTTGTGTGGCGGACTAGCACTGAATCGGTCGGAATAAGGGAAAAACATGAGGCTGGCTTTAAAAAATATACTAATAAATGGGAAGACTTGTGGGCTCTCATATGCCGATATTCACTATCTCTCCGAAAATCGCGGTATTTATTCGCTCACTCGCCCGTCGTCACCTCACGTGCTGTCCCTCTGACCCCTCCCCCTCCCCCACCCCACCTTCAGGTGGATCTGCCTCGCGTCTACCTGGAGATCACGGCCATGAAGGAGCTGACGCACCAGCACATCGGCAAGCTGTACCAGGTGATCGACAGCGAGCTGAAGATCTTCCTCGTCATGGAGTACTGCCGCGGCGGGGAGCTGTTCGACTATATCGGTGAGCGCGCGCAGGCACGGCTGAGGACGGCTCTGGACGGGGAGGACGCCGGACGGGGAGGTGACCGATCAGCTGTAGGAGTTGTTACCGCTGTCTACTAAATGTCCGGTGTCATTTACCGTTCACTCTCCTAACGACCGACCGGGAACTGGAAGGGTGTGGCACTGATTGGGAAATATACAGTGCCGCCTTCTTAAAACGTCCAAGCGGCGTCTGTTGCCCTGACTCTACAGTGGATACGGAGGAAGGACCGTCCAACCCCGTCCCCGTCCGTCTTTTCAATGGAGATGAACCGTCTAACCATCTCGTTCGTTTTATCGTCTATGTTTGAGACAACGCCCATCCCCTCCCCGTCCGTTTAAAAAAAAAAAACGGACGGGGAGGGGATGGGCGGTGTTTCAAACATTATTGCAAGGGGACCGTGCACCCCTCCCAGTCCGTATTTAAGCGGAGAGGACCGTTAACCCTGACCAATGTGTCCTTTTTCGCAGAAGAGTAGGACCCACTAATCCTCACCGTTCTGTTTGTTGCAGTGGAGTGAGACTGTCTTAGCTCTAACGACCCCCGTCCGTCTATGTTTGCTTGCAGTGGAGAGGGACCGTTTTAGTTAATCATAATCGTAATCGTGTATTTGCGAAAATCTCCACGCGAAAATGTTCCGGTTTTCGGGTCATTTTCAACATGTAAACACTGAAAAAATATAAGATGGCATGCAATCTACAACTTGAGGTCCTATCTTACAGGCATTTTGAAACACGCGTGGCAAACATTTGCCTGCAGCCAGTCTGTAGTTCTAACCACCCCCGTACTCTTCTGTTTTGTTTGTTCGCAGTGGAGAGGAACCGTCTTAGTTCTAACCACCCCCGTCCGTTTATGTTTGTCAGTGGAGAATCAGTGGAGAGGGACGGGGTTGGTCCCTCAGTTCAGCGAGACCGCCTAAGTTCTAACCACCCTCGTTCTGTTCTGTTCGTTCACAGTGGAGCGGGACCGTCTTTGTTCTAACTTCTAACCACCCCCTTCCTTTCTGTCCTGTGTATTCACAGTGGAGCGGGACCGTCTGACTGAGGAGGAGGCTCGCGTGTTTTTCCGTCAGATCGTCTCGGCCGTGGCCTACATCCACCACAAGGGATACGCCCACCGCGACCTCAAGCCGGTACGGCCGGCACTCGGAGGGACACTCAGGGGGGCACTCGGAGGGCACTCAGAGGGACACCAAGAGGGGACGGGCACTCAGAGGCAGATGGCACTCAGAGGGGTGGGGACACTCGGAGGGGACTCAGAGGCAGAGGGCACTCAGAAGCAGAGGGCACTCAGGCAGAGGGCACTCTGAGGGGTGGGGACACTCAGTGGGGTGGGGACACCGAGAGGGTGGGAACTCAGAGGTAGAGGGCGGGATGGGGACGCTGAGGGGGGGGAGGTGCCACAGAGGTTCGATGGAGTTCCATAGACGTTCTATAAAACATCGACGTCTCGGAAAATATTTCGATGGAGTATCACTTTCATATAAAAGGCTCATACCTTGTCAAATTAGTTGCAGCGTAGTACGGTAAACGTTTGGTGAAACGGGCTGGTAAGTTGTGTCTCAATTGATACCCAATATTTGTTGGGAGCTCGGGGATAAATAACCTGTCGCGTGTATTATACGTTAGATTCAATTAGTCACCACTCAGCGTGAAACTAAAATATGTCTAAAATATGTTAAAATATGTCTTCCCGATCAGAAATAGCTATTGTCTTAGGCTGCTCCGTTGCGGGTCCCAGCATCAAACTGTTCAAATAAGACCACTACCGCACGACCCCCCCCCCCTCCAGGAGAACCTGCTGCTGGACGACGACAACCGTCTGAAGCTGATCGATTTCGGCCTCTGCGCCAACCCCGAGGGCGGCATGCAGGCGCACCTGGAGACTTGCTGCGGCTCTCCGGCGTACGCGGCGCCCGAGCTGGTCTCCGGCCTGCAGTATCTCGGAGCAGAGGCAGATATCTGGAGCATGGGCGTGCTGCTCTACGCACTGCTCTGTGGATTCCTGCCCTTTGACGACGAGAACATTGCCAACCTCTACAAGAAAATCCAGGTAAGTTCACATAGGGTAAAGACGGATGAACTAAGCATGGATCAACTGTTGCGGTTACTGGGATGCCTGGAAAACGGCTGCGATAAATTTTCTGTGAGACTGCTGTGTACCTGTCTAAGACCTTTCTGGGATTCTATCCCATGCCCCATGCCGATAAACTTGTGTTCCCGGCAGTGACTAGCGCATCTTCTGCTGCCTGACGCCTCTGGGATTTGAACCCGCGACCCCGCTCTCCCCGTAGGCCGGCGTGTACCAGAAGCCCGAGTGGCTCTCGGAGGGCTCTCTGCGCCTGCTGGACCAGATGCTGCAGGTGGAACCCAAACATCGGATCGTGGTCTCTGAGCTGCTGACCCATCCCTGGCTCACGGCTGGAACAGGCCTGCCTGTCGAGTGGAAGAGCTACTTCCAGGTACGTGCCTATCACTGCACTGGTGGGGCAGTGTAGTACCCTATCACTGGTGGGTATTTCTGACCCGTACCTGGCTCACGGCTGGAACAGGGCTGCCCGTCGAGTGGAAAAGCTACTTCCAGGTGCGTAACGGCCTGTTATCGAATGGGTAACGGACCCGTCACTGGTGGGTAGTACCCCGCCAATGGTGGCTACTGATTACCGACACATTGCGGGTGGGTAGTATCCTGTTACGGGTGGGCCGCTACTACACTATTTTCAGGGCACGGATGTTGCCTGACATGTGTGACATTCCCTTGGGTTATAGCAATAAGCAATGGGTTCAGCAATGGGCAATGGGTTCAATAAGCAATGGGTTCAGCAATAATTGCTGAAAACATCCCGTTGGGTGGAAAAGCGGCTTCCCTAGGTTAGTTTTGGTATGCTCAGCTCTGTTCGATGGTGATGTGAGGCGTGAGCCCCCGCTTCAGATGCGTTCTTTTCTAGTCGCCGGTGATATATGGAGTTCGGATGTTTCGAACTATTCTAAAATCCAAACAGTGTCATCAGGGATGCAGCTCGTCAGGTATTGATAATCATTGTGTGTTCTTTATTTAGAGATTCGGGTACGAACTGACGCCACTGGGCACTGACGCCGCCAATTGACGCCCCTCCGTCCCCCCCCCCCCCCCGCCCCCCCCCCCCCCCCAGTCTCGTCAGCCGGACGAGGACGTGGTGACGGCGATGGCGGTCTCCGGTGGCCGCAGCCGGGCCTGGATGGCGCGCCGTCTCTCCCAGTGGAGTTACGATCACACCACTGCCACCTACTGGCTACTGCTGGCGGCCAAACGACGAGGGGAGCCCGTCAGACTGGCTGCGGCACAGCAGGTCAGAGGGAGGGAGAGAGAGAGAGAGAGAGAGAGAGAGAGAGAGGGAGAGAGAGAGGGAGAGAGAGAGAGAGGGAGGGAGGGAGAGAGAGAGAGCCGGACGCAGGTAACGCAGCAAATGAGGGGAGAGAAGGAAACTGAGAGTGACTTAGGAAATAAAAATAAAACGGCATTGCTAGCTATAAAGCACGTCATTGGGAGGCCAGTGATGGACTTGGTGTCACATTCGCATTTTTGTATCCCTATTTCAACAGCCCTGCGTCGCTATTAAGGTCCCGCTCAGACCTCCAAGATCTCGCTGTGCTGTGGCGCTTGACCTCGTTTTATGAAACTGACGCGACTCTCATTCTACGCCCGCTGTCTATACTACAGACTGAAGGCTACAGGACACTACACAGGCTGTGTCTGCCAGCTCTGACCCACTCCTTCTCCCCTCCAGATGCCTCCCCCTCCTCCGTCGGCTGCGGCCGGCCGCGCCACCCTCCAGGAGCTGACTAGCGCCGGTCTGCCGGGCTTGGTGCCGCTGGGGGACTCCCCGCACGGGCGGCCCCAGTCGCTGGACACGGGGCTGGATGCGCTGGAGCAGCGCCGGGGGCTGGAGCTGGAGCTGGAGCAGCGCCGCCGTCAGGAGCTGGAGGAGGAGGAGGCCATGGAGACACTGCTCAGCCTGAAACCCATCGGTGAGAGAGGGGGAGGGGACCTGTGAGAGACCCATCGGTGAGATACTACGGGAAGAGCAATAGTTCCTCGGCCTCAAATCCATCAGTGAGATAGCGGTGGTGGAACCTTGCCTCTGAGACCCAGACCCATCGCGATGGGTGTCAGAACTCAGAGGTAAGGTTGCACCGATGCATCGGTGAGATAGTCTCCGGGAGGCGGGGGCATTCTAAGCCCCATTGGTGAGACGATACGGGGTGGGGTCCTCTGAGAGATACATCGGTGAGACTGGGAGGGAACCTCTGAGACCCATCGGGGAGATGGGGAGGGTGAGGGGCTGAGGAGGAAGGTATGAGGAAAGAAGGACTGGAAGTCAGATGATCTTGTCAATGAGATTGGGCTGGGCTTTTAACGCCCAACAATCTTGTCAATGAGATTGTTGGGCGTTAGTCGGTTATTCGGTTCGCCTTCCGTAGCTATGCGACGAGGAGACTAAAGAAAATAGTTCTGGGGCCGTATTCACGTCGATCATTTTCGTAAAAATGCTCTTACGTTTGGCCTACTTCTTAAGTTTTTTTTTTAATCACGTGAACTCCGTCGATAAAAACTTAAGAAGTGTCGACGTGAATACCAAATTATACTTAGGAAAGAAAATCGAGTTACGAAGTCGACGTGAATACGGCCCCAGGTAGTTTTTAACACCGAGCGTTATTATTTCATGAATGAATGCATCGAGTGGCTCGATTACAACAGGTTTTAAATATGCATTAACGAACCTAGACTGAGTTCGAATCGTGTCAGCCTCTCTGTAAGCCAAGGTATCTGCCCTCCTTATCGTATCCCAGTCTCCTAGTCTGACCGTTAGTTGTGTTATCTCTCCAGAGATGGAGCCACTGCTGGAGCGCAGCACCGGCCGCAGTTCACAGCGCGGTCGGGGCAGCCAGCGGAGGAAACGAGCCACACCGCCCCGACCCTCACCGACTGAGAACAAGGAGAATGACTTCCTCCAGCCCAAAGCGCCGTCACCCAGCAAAAAGACCAAACGACGTGCCGGTGGTGAGGGGGCGGCGTAGGGGGATGAAGTGGGAGGTTTGGTACTTTGGGGAGATAATGTTATGTTGCGGATGCCCATAGCCTGAGCTGACCCGTTAGGGCTGCGCTTGTGCAAAACAGGTGTTCATTTAATCATCGGTTCGCGGAATCGTAGGGAACTGCTGGATATTAACCCGCGCGGGGCTGGGGGGGGGGGTAAATTTTACCCCCCCCCCCCCCTCGCGAATTTTTGCAATATCTCACAAACGAAACTTTCAGTACCTTTTCTTACATCAATTTGACACGTTCCCTGAAAATTTGAGCGAAATCCGTCGGAAAATTTTTGAGAAATTGACGTTTTAGTGACGTCATGTTCGCCATTTTCGCCTCAAAAACGGGAAAAGTTCAAACGCCGCTAACATCTTCATTTTTAAAGGAATCAAGACGTAACAAAAAAGGTTATAGGTACGTAATTTTACTTTGTCTATCAAATGGCTATCTCGGTTTTTTGAAAATTTTGGATTTTGGCCCAAATTTAAAAAAAAACTGACTTTTGGGAAAATAACGATAAATCCAAAATTTTGAGTGTATCGAAAAAAACCGGAATATATGTCAGAGAAGTGGTCTATGTGCACCTACATACCAAGTTTTAGAAGAATCGGTTCAAAAATGTGGGAGTTATTCAAAATTGTATGACGTCACGACACACAAAAATTTAGAAAAATGACTTTTTTGGAAGTTTTAGACCTCGTACGGAAACAAAAATAGCACCATTCGATTCGCCGTGAAAAACTGCATCAGATAGACACCTTTTTAGGCCTTAACAACCGACTTCAAAATTTGACCTCACTTGACCTGACCTTGACGTGACCTCGACCTGAAATTCATCCAGAGGTGGTCCATATCACTTATTCAGTGTGCCTATACTTGAATTCTATGAGTAAAATGACCCATAAAACATGTGTCGCAGCAGTCGCACATGCCCTTTTCTATATTTTGTTTTTGGTGACCTGACCTGACCTGACCTGACCTTGACCTTGACCTCTGAATGATATTGTATGCAACGAATATTGTCTTGGTAGCCTATGAACACGTTTTGGGCGATCAGTCTCAGTCCATGACTCCATTCTTCGGCAACTACGGTGCAAGGCCGATACTGTAGGAACTTGCAATTTGTACCCTTGACCTGACCTTGACCTTGACCTCAAACTTAAAATTAGGTACATGTTTTTAGTTGTTCGTGATGAGATCTTTCGATTGGCGTTTGAATTTTCCAAATCGGGCCATTAGTTCGGGAGATAACAGGGGGGGGGGGGGTAAAATTTACCCCCCCCCCCCCAGCCCCGCGCGTTCGGCTGGAGACCCCAGCCCCGCGCGGGTTATTTGTCCCGCCACTTGCCTATTTGCTGACATTTCATCAAATGTTTTCGCCGTCTAGTGAGTTTTGTACGCTCTTTCTTGCGTGTGTTTTGATGAGCTTCCATTCCCTAATTGGATCCCTTGCCTGTGGTGCCTGTAGCTGACACCCAGAGACACAATTGACACACTGTCTCCCCCCCCCCCCCCCACCACAGAGACGCCGTGTAAGCTGTCGCCCTCCCGGTCGGTCGAGTCGGCGCTCGACCCCGCCTTCAAGACGCCACAGAGGAGGTGTGTGATCCCCGACTGGGCGGGTGGGGGTTGATTTTGGCCCATCATCTGACGTCACTGATTGGTGTACACGGGCCGCGTAAACCGCTGACGTCACGATCACTTACCGACAATTAGGGGTAAAACGGGACGCCTGAAGTATAATGGGATGATCGAATATTTGACATCGAACCTTCGACATTGTTGTGTTCAACATAGCAATGTCAAAGAACACAGTGTGTTCTTCTATCCCCTTTTCCGGTCCCATCGTTTCCGTTTTTAGCGTCTTGTTTTGTGACACGTCTTCAACTACGGGATGCAGCTGACATATCTGTCATGGCTGCTAGCTCCTTGTATTACTCTTTTTGAGGTTACTGATATATCTTAGGGCGATATATCTAAGAGTGAAACTTCAAATTTCACCCTTAGATATACCGCGGGAATTATGGAGGAATGAGGATTGGCCTTCCTCTATCATTACCCACATGTAACTATGATAGCACCCATACTTTTTACTTTTACCACTATCCGCCCCATAACTACCCTCCAGTACCCCGTGCCCCCACTGACCCCCCTTCCCCCCCCCCTCTGGACAGGCCGCGTCCGCAGTCTGAGAATTTCCGCACTCCGGACTGCGGCTCCAAGTCCTCCGCGGTGCCCCGGACTCCCATCTCTGGCCGCAAGGTGTTCGGCTCCATCGAGAAGGGTCTGGACAAGATGAAGAACATGCTGACGCCACGGAAACGCACCCAGATGGCGGGTGACCGGCCGGCACTCATCGATACGAAGGTGAGAGCGGGAGAGAGGGGGAGAGAGAGAGAGAGAGAGAGAGAGAGAGAGAGAGAGAGAGAGAGAGAGAGAGAGAGAGAGAGAGAGAGAGAGGGGGGGTTAGGGAGGGAGTAACATACAGACAGACAGACAGACAGACAGACAGACAGACGGAAAAGACATGATACTCAGTTACTTTTGTAAGGATTATTGATTTGATAGACCAGTGATGCGTTGACTAATAACGATAGAACGGTGTCCGGATTTATGTCAGAATACAGTGAAGGAACACTGTACTTTTCGGCTTGAAGTCGAAAAGAACAGTGTTGCTTCCATTCCTTGATTTGACGCGAGGCCTTACGATTTTGACGCTTCTCTGCATTGCTCTACGTCTACAATCCAGTAGATAACAATGGGATGATAATTTACAACGGATTTCTAGAAGTCGCTTGTCCGTTGTCGATTAATGTTCACGTCCAGTTCTTCTGTGCCTTCTCGGGCAAAAATTTACCGATACATCCCCAGAACATCGTTAGATGTTTTTGTCAGCTGACCCACCAAAGTCGATCGAGTTTTCATTCTGTATATCCTGTATATCCGTATTCGGTTTCTTCTTCTCCGATGTCGGCTCTTGTTATTGTCACACACGGTCAATTAGGCAGTATTTTATTCAAAGTCACGCTGGCGTTTGGTGGCACTAAATAATACATCGAACTAGCCACTAGTCTACTGGTAAAACATGTGACATTGCCAGCTCTAATTATCAAAAAGCATTTGTGTAGTACCACAAACGAAAAGCGACCAAAATATATCGCAATTATAACGTCACAAAGGCCCAAAATGATATTCACAGTCACTCACTGGAACGATTCTGGCACTTCCCGCGCGCAGAAGCTCGACACTCATCCCCCTCCCCCTCCCTCGTTGAAACGGCAGCCTAAAAACAAACTCCAGTACACGGCCACCGGGAATTGCCCGGCCCGCCGTCCGTAGCCGCCGCGCAGTCTTTGTACATCTGTGGCGCGGACAATTCGTCACATTGTTGGTCCGGTCACGCGCGACCCGCCGGCCGCGTCTGCAGGACCCTCAGATCCGCCGTCCGCCGGGGCGGCCACTCGGCCGGCCGTCCCGCTGTTTATGCTGGCGCTGTGACAGCCGATTGGCCGGCGCTGGTTGCGAGTTTCTCCATCACTGGGTGTTCCGTCGTCCCGCCCGCCGCCGCCGGTTCTCACTGGCGGCCGCGCAGCCGCTTCTTGGGCGGCACGCGCGACTCGGCGTCGTCCCTGGCGCGCCGACCGCGTCCGGTGGCGCGCCGCGCGGCGGCCTCCTCCCCGTCCTCGCTCTCACTGTCGCTGGCCTCTGCCAGACTGACGTTGGTGGCCGCCGCGCGCCGACCCGTCGCCCGCGCCGGCGGCGTCTTGACCGCGGCGGCGGCGCGCGCGCGCCGGGCCGGCGTCTTGGCCTCCGCGTCCTCCCACTCCTCGTCCGACCCGCCGGACGTCCCGTTCTCGGCCGTCTCGGCGGCCGGCGGCGCCTTGGGAGGCCTGCCGCGGCCGGGGGTCTTCTTGGCCGGCGGAGGCTCCTCCTCGCTGCTGTCGCCGCCACTATCAGCAGCGGCGGCGGCGGCCTTCCGACCGCGGCCGGTCTTCCTCGCGGAGGGGATGTCCTCTCCCTCCTCCTCCAGGATGCGGTCGGCCAGGCTCTTACGGCTGGCGGCAGGTCGGCCGCGGCGGCGTGGCGTCTCAGCTTCTGGCTCGTCCTCCTCAGAATCATCTGCCTTCCTCTTCGGCGGCTGCTTCTTCGGCCTACCCCTGCCCCGCGGGGTTTTCTTAGACTGGCTCTGTTCTTCCTCAGATTCATCAGAGACTAGCGCCTCCTCGTCGTTTTGCGCAGCGGCCTTTCTCTGCCGGCCGCGTCCCCGCGCGGTCTTCTGAGGCTGCTCCTCGTCCTGTTCTTCGTCCTCAGAAGGCGGCGCCGCGGCCGCCTTCCTGGGTCTCCCGCGGCCCGGCCTTCCCCGTTTGGTCTGCTGAGCCTCCTCCTCGCCATCGCCGTGACCGTTCTGAACGACTTCCTTCTTCTTCTTCGGCCGGCCGCGACCCCTCTTCTTGGCCGGCGCCTCCTCCCCCGACCCCTCCCCCTCAGACTCCGACTCCGACTCGGACTGCCCCTCGGAGTCGCGATCGGCGTAGTTAACCATCTTGGTGCGCCGGTTAGACTCCCTGCTAGGCTGAGTGCCCGTGCCCACGTAAAACGGCGCGCGCTTCTTCTTTTTGGCGCGTCCCCGCGCGGCCGGCGGCGGCGCCTCCTCACTGCGCAGGCGGCTCACCACCTTGGCGACGAACGCGTGCGCGGGCCGCTTCTTACGAGGACGGTACTCGTCGGCAGCAGCCTCCACGTTGATGACGTCATCTCGGTAATCGACGCGCGCCGTGCGGCCCGAGCGTCGGCCGCCGTCACCCGGGGTGTCGGACGGCTGCGCGCGGTGCACCCGCTGGATGTGCGCGCGCAGCGGGGCGTTGCCGAAGAACCCCTTGCCGCAGAAGTCACACTCGTGTGTGCGCTCCTTGTGTGTGATCTGGTGGCGCGCGAGGAACGTTTCCTTGGAGAAGGCGCGGTCACACTCGTCGCACGCGTACAGCAGCACGCCATCGCTGTGGTCGCGATCCACGTGCGATATCAGCTGCAGCTTGAACGCGAACGCCTTGTCGCACTGACCGCAGCCGTGAGGCCGTTCGCCTGTGTGAAGCCGCTGGTGAAGACGCAGCATGCCGGCCGAGGCGCACTTTTTGTCGCACTTGGGGCACGTGAACTCGCCTCTGTGCACCGCCTTGTGCTTCAGCATGAAGCCCTTGGTGACGAAGCGCCGGTTACATTCGTCACACTTGACCCGCTTGACAGCGCGCCGCTTCTTGCGCTTCTTTCGGCGGTCTTCATAGTCCGAGTCGTTGTCCTCTGCGGAAGGAGCAGAAACGTCACAGATCAGTAATTGACAGGCCGCCTCACGACTTGCACACTCAAAGGGAACGTTTAGAGCACTTGCCAGTTGCCACTCCTGCAGTGTCCGAAATCGACGCAACTATGTCGTTTTCTTCGGATAAGAGAATGTCTTTAAATTCCACAACAAGGCAAAGGGAAGCAAGATGGCAGGGAAGGAAGCAACAAGGGAGCAACAGGGAAACAACAAGGAAGCAATACCTATATACAACCAGTGTTCTTCAAAGTTGTAGGAATGGGCGCCTCATTATTATTCAGCCGTATCATGTGAACACGGCAGGGTAACCGTGAAAACCTCATTACCCACCGGGGCTCTCGATGGAGTAGTCAGAGAAGTCGTCACCGCTCATGTAGTCGCGCGCCAGGTACGTCGGTCCGCCGTTCAGCTCCAGACGCTTCAGCACGATCTGGGCGGCTGAAGGCGGGGGGGGGGGGGTCACTCATTGAATCTCAATGGCATATGATATTTGTTTTGTTAACACTCTCCAGGGATGACACAGCACTGATTATTGTTACTGTTCTTGACATTGTTTTTCTGAAGTTTAAAACCTGTTGATTATAATTCTGTCCATCAATTTTGTAATCAATTTAGGGATTTCCAAAAAACAGGTGTCTAGCACTTCTTATTTCTTCTCCATACTTTGCCACGCGCCACCAATCCTCGTCTCTCAGCCGTTTCATACATGCTGGATCCTTTTCGTCGTCCATCTCGTCATCGGAGTCGTCCTGCAGGGGCGAGTTGTTGCTGCCCTCCGTGTCAGCATTGTAGCCGTCCGTCTGAAGCGCCATCTGTACACAGACCAGGGGAACTGAGTACCCTGAACATACTCACCAGCTGTTCAGCTATTTACCCTAGTTGTTATCATCCTGGCCAAAAGCAGATAGCAGAAAAAGTACATAAATAACTTGTGAGAGGTTGCAGTGTAGGTAGCCAAGTTAATGAAATAGGTACCTAGTTGTAACAACATGTAAAATTTATGTAAAATATGTGACATGTCATTAATTTCCTGAGCTTTACTGTCAGAAAAGTGGTATAAAGTTTTATTCATTTTTTTATTTGAACAGGTATTCATGATCAAATTATGGCATGTTGATATTTGACTCAACAACATAAATAATTTCATTTGCTTTTTAAGAATGTAGGTACCAGCACTTGCACTTTGCAGTTTCAGTTCGCAAAGCCATACCGTACACTTCACAGATGTTAGAAGTTTAGAACTTACTGTTCAGAGTCAGTTTGGTAAACAATTGATCAGCTTGGACCCCACCAATTTCCTCAAACAATTGAGAAACTTTCTCCCTATTCCCCAACCCCCTCAACGCCCCCAACCTCGCAAGTTTTGTTTATGTTTGGAATGTAACACGTGCGCCACAAATGTGCACAGACAGAATATAATAAAAAGTGCATTCAACCAGCCTTTTGAGGGTTCCAGATTGCAAGAAAATAGGCTTTCTTTGTCTATAGAAGGCTTTGGAACTCTATTTGAATATTTTACAGCTTACCGTAGCTTTTTTAGAGGTAATATAGTTGACCTACAAGATGGCCGCTGGATTATCGCCGGCGTCTGCTGCCATATCGCTGCCAGATGAAGGTATTTGGGTGGAAAGAGAAAAACCTTTGCCATTTGTGTAAAGCCGCCTTTTTGTTCACCGAAAGCTCGAAATTCGAATTTTTCAAATGAACCCAAAAAGAAACTAAAGCATCGGAAGACGGCGATGGCAGGTTCCTTCGGAAAACACAAAATACAAAGTTATGGTAATCTGAACAGAAAAGTGCCACGGTCGCCGTTCCAGCGAATCGCATTTTGTCTCCGGCCGTCGGCTATTTGACCCGTGCCGCTGACCAACACCCCCCCCCCCCCCCCACCAAGGCCTGCCTGACCGCCTGTCCGTGGTGCCGCAGAAAATGCTGAACGTTTCGGCGACGGGAGCCACGGACCCCGACCAGGTGCTGATCGACCTTCAGCGCGAGCTCTGGAGTCGCGGCATCGTGCTCAAACAGAAAGGGTGAGTGGCTGTCAAAGGAGGGATGGCAGCGCTGGACGTGCAATAAGTAAGAATCCAACTATGCCGAAAAGATTCGTCTCGCACCTGCTCGCAATAATCATCCACCAAGCTACGTTGATCAGAGAAGTAAAGGAATCTTATCTTGGTCGAACAGACCAGACTCTCCGATTTACGGGGCTTGAAACACTAGCGCCTCTATAGCTAGCGTTTCATAGCTTTAGTTACACTAGCGCGCCACCAGGTGGCAGTAAATATTTTTGCGGTGCTCTTACTGTCACCTGGTGGCACGATACCTAAACGTAGGTACCCTGACTTGCCACCAGGTGGCAGTAAGTGCACCGCAAGGCTGATGTTTACTGCCACCTGGTGGCGAGATACTGTAACTACAACTATGAAATGGCTGATGTAGAGGCGCTAGTTTTTCGAGCCCCGTAAATCGGCGAGTGTGATGAAACTGATATTGGATTTTTCGGTGATCGAATCAATACCGCCTTGTCAATAGCGGTATTGATTCAAGTTTACTGTCGAGTGAATACCGCTTTGCAGTATCGGCGTCAACGACTTTGTAATTGATTGATGTTTCTTTCCTCTGGCTGATCCGAGTTCGAAAGGGCGCGTGCCATTCCGCAAAGGATTTTCCGTATCATGTCTATGATGAAAATATCTCTAGCAATTGTAATAATAGCAATTGGTACGATTGGTACAAATATGGCTTGTCTGATGTTGCCCTGTGGGCGACAAATTCACTTAAATACATCATTTTCGACATTTAAACTTTTCTATATTCGAGGAAAAGGTCATTCATTCTGAGATATTATAACAATATGTTCCTCGCGAGAGCACTCAACACCATGTCTTCTATGATGAAAATGTCAAATATGGTTGGGAAAATTGGTTGATTGTGCATTGCACCTCACCCAAAAATGTTTTGCTGTTTTTCGCATCTTTCATATTATGGTATTTTCCTCATAATTGTGCAAACAAGTGCAATAATTGGTGAATTAAAGAAATTCAAAGAAAATCAAGAAAATTATGTTAAATTTCCCCTCTGAGCGGTACCTTCTCCCCGTCCGTTGCCGCCTGATGCTGACTTTCCCCCCCCCCCCATCTCCTCCTCCATCCAACACGGACTTCTTGCTCTCACCACTTATTGTCCCATCCGTTACCTAACGCTAATATATACATGTATCCCCGTCTTACCTATGACTGCCTCTCTGTCCCCTTACTCTGCCCCCCATTGACACTGTATTGTATTGTATTTTATTGTATTTTATTGACATCAAAAGCCTTCCACATATGGCGTGGCGATTACGGCTTGACCTGATCCATTCGCTGACATTCACTGACCCATTTTCCGTCCCGTCAGGTACACACTGCGTGGAAAGGTGGCTGACCCGCTGGGAAAGGCCAAAATGTCCTTCGAGCTGGAGGTCTGCATGATCCAGAGCCTCAATGTGGTCGGTACGTATCGCGGGGAGAGGTGGGGGGAAGAGGGGCTCCCGTGTGATGTTCGTCAGCTGATAGAGGGGCAGATGGTTAGTTTGTTAATTGGTTTTGGATTGTGTTCTATAGAAATGAGTGGGGGAGTGTAAAGATGTGCGGTGATTTGGGCTGGAATGTGCCTAGTTTGCGGCATCGATTCAGATTTAAGTGTGCCCACTTTTTCGAGTGTGTTTGCCCCTCCCTAAGTGAGCGCATGGTACCATATTCCCCTCTCATTGTAAGTTGCCCCCCCCCCCCGTCAGGTATCCGCCGTAAGCGTCTAGAGGGCGACGCCTGGTGCTACAAGAGGATATGTGAACAGGTGCTCCGCCTGGCCGGACAACAGACGGCCGTCTAGCCAATCAGAGCTCAGCAGACGGACTCGGCGACCAATCAGATGTCAGGCTGGCCTCCGGGGGCCAATCATTGCCAGCCAGGCCCGGTGGGGACCAATCACAGTCGAAAGACACTGCCAGTGACCAATCGCGGGCCATGTGCTGTCTGCGCCGGCCAATCACAGTCGAGATGACGTCACGGCCGGCCAATGAGAGCAGAGAACGTGTTTCAGAGTCGATCACGTGCGTGTTTTTGTCAGGGACCTCGCTGTGCGCGCGTGCTTAGTGCTAAGGCTGCCCCAGGCTGGGACAGACGAGGACCTTGTAACGTCGTGTGCTGAATTTGAGTCTGCCTGGTCATGACTATGATATTGTTCTTCCAAGTGTACTCAATGTGGGTTCATTTCCATTTATCAGCCCATCGTCGATTTTATAGTGATTCACCATTTCTTTTCCTTTCTGTCTCACGTTAATTACTCATCACGCCTTGGTCTTGGTGTCAGCTTCCATCCTGTTTAGCTTGATTATTGGCACACTAAGGTTTTGCCTGTCTTGCCCTGCTTCCCGTGTTTAATCTCTTGATAGTGTAGGAATATGCGGTGTCAATATGATGGGCTAGGCTGCCCTGCTGTTTCGTTGAGGAATGTGGCAGTGGTGCTTTTTCTAGCTCAACAAAAAGGGCCGAAGGAGAAATTGGCAATCCAGGATCAAAATGTCTCGAAACAATGTCACGTGCAGTCTTTTGTCGTGTCACTCGCAGAGTTTTGTGCCGCTTACGTCGCTATGAGTTCTCTGGAGCTTTTTCGCGAGCCCTCGCATGAATATTGCTCAGCACGTGATTTTGTGAGTGAGAATACCTCCTAACTTGTACATAGAGCGAGCATGAGTGAGTGTTTTACGTGAGTGTTTTATATGGTGTGTGACATGTACAGGCACTGGGTAGATACTGGGCTAGAGGATGCGCTATTCTAGATATAGCTTTCTTCCTTCACTGTCTTAGGTGAAATAAACACTCCATTGGATGCGTTTGTTTACTAATTACTTATATTCGAATAGGGAACCAACAAATGTATCGTTGACACGACAGCTACTGACGTTATCTGACCATGGGTGGTTAACTTGCTCGCAGCGTTTGGGTTGATGTAACGTGGTGCGCAGTTGGCCGTTTCGATGGTGTTTTCAATGGCTGCAGGTGTCTACCTAAGGCGCTATATTATTATTGTTCCCATGTAATATCGGTTTAGGCTTGCTCGCAGACACATGATCTTATTCATATTCCTCTGATTCAGTGTGCTTTGTGTGGCCAGCCTCAGCTCACCCTATCGCACGCCTTCTGAATTAGTAGTGCAGCGCATGATCACTAGGTGGCAGCACATGTACCGTTTGCGACAAACGGCTCCGATCAACAGTCCGCTATTCTCCGTCACCTAACACGTCGTTGTTCGTTTGTAGTCATGTGCGGGCTGCGAGTATTGACCACATTCATGGGCAGTATCGATGATGAGTTTTGTTTGCTATTTGTTCAGACTAGATGAGACGAGTTTTGTTCAGCTACCTACACAAGTCAATCACTGACTGAGGGCGCTGAGGGACAGAGCCCCGACCCGCTAAACGTCAGAGTGACGGCTCAGTTGGTCGCCGGCAGACAGACATTAAATAGACAGTGGTGGAGAGAAGCACTCCTACAGCAGCAGAAGACACTCCGGAGTGACTGCCAAGTGTCTGAGTGGCCTGTCTCCGCGGGGCACTCTCGCTCCACCAGGGCAGTCTGTCGGTGGTCGTAGAAGGGCTGACAGCGCGCGCACCTGGGCAGTGGTCGACTCGGTCCAATGTCCCTCGACAGATCCGGGGAGGGGAGGATCTGGGGCAAATACCCCCTTCCTGCTGCGTCTGAAAATCTGCGGTTTTTCGAGAATAAAGCGAAAACTTTTTTTCGAAGCGAAAGGTCTTTGGAAATTGGCAAAACGTTTTCGGCGAAAAGTTTTTGGAATTGGGCGAAATTTGTTCGGGGGTATTCCCCGCAAAGTCCAAGATCGTCTACCTGGCTCCGCCAGTGGAGTACCAATGTCGCCCTTATCCTCTCATTTCTGGCTCTGAAATGGTGTCAACAACTCAACAGACCGATAAAACCTAGGCCCCCGAAAAAAAAACGATCAAAACAAAACAGATTAGATGGCCGCAAGATTGTTATCGTTTGACAGAAATTAAAAATGCGACAGGAAGTTCTGCGCTGGTCAGATCGTTTTGGATGGCCAAATATTACCTACCATTTATACGACGCACGTGTATGCGGGGAGTGGGGGAGCCGGGAAGTGGAGAAGCCGGCTTCCGTTCCTGTTTTTGTCCGGGAGTGGCCATAAAGTTCACCGTCAACACAGTGATGATCCAGATCCATCCAAGGCCGTATATAGGATCCGTCATTGTAACCGGCTCAATCTCTATTCTTTAGTGCCCTGTCTTACTTATTGGGCTGGCTGTGGACGCTCGAAAAACCGGCCGCCAGAGCACGTGCGGCTGAGGTGGAGACGTTCCCAGGCTGAGGATTCTCGCAAGTCCAGTCAGCACGGCTTTGCCGTCGAACACTGGGTCTATACGTACGCTGTAACTGCACTCGACAGCACATAAGCCTAACCTGCCTAACATTATTTTGCTGGAATTTATTGTATTGAGTTTACTATCCCTCCATACCTAAATGTCAGGCGGCCATGCCACCCACATCTTACATGCTCCATAAGGGATGGGCGATTCGCCTGGCTCGACGGAGTGAGCGACTTCGTTGAACGCTTCCTCGCCTACTCTGGGACGACCGGCCAGGCGACTAGTCCCTCAAAACTCTGCGTGCCACCGGGATCTAGTAATGGGACGGCCGGCAAGTTCCCGAGCGGAGGGAGAGGGAGGAGGGGGGGGGGGGGCTGACACTTTACCTGAAAAGTGAAGTAGGGACTGAAAAGGAAATGAAATCACCTGACATATTTTGATGAGGGGCGCAATCATACTCTCAGAGTCAGAACGTTGGGGAGCAGGATCCTTCTGCAGGTCGTGGTGGAAGGAGGTGAGATCACAGCCGACTCCCCCCCACACACACACACACACCTACACGAGTTTATATATAACGCTGAGGACAGCGCATGACAAGAGACAGGCGACCACTTCCGGTTTCCCCTATTAGCTACTGCCTCCCTCCCCCCCCCCCCGCCGGGGCCGTGATGCTACCGTGACAGTTGAGATCGCAGGTTCCACCCTGACCCCTAGGCGTATGGAAATCGCTGGCAGGAGGGGGGCGCCCCGCGCCCGGGGCGGAGATCGGAGCCGGGCGAGCGGGCTACTCTACTTTAGACCTCATAGGGGGGCCCATGACCCTATACATGTTCTCTTAGACCTGCTAAAGCAACTAAAGAAACCCCCTCCTGCTTCCTTGTAACCCGCTTTGCAGCCCCATGTTATGAACTATAAGTTGAGGCTTATCATCAAAAGAAAAAAAATTGGCGCAATTATAGCAGCGAGGTGGCGCCATCTTGTATTTAGTTTATGCAAGGCAGCGAAAGCCTGTTGTTTGTGTCGTGATTTAAAGTGTTTGTGTTGTTTGTGGAGACGGCTGCGAGTGTTTGAAAATTCGCGTTGTGTTTGGTGAAAGTGCTGTGATAGTGTGAAGTGGTTTTCGAGCTGCGGAAGCTCGTATTTCGATCGAGTGAAGCTGGCCTGTGCCGATTCAGGCGCCATCTTCTTCAAGGGGTCGTTGTCGGCTTGGCTCCAGTTTCAATATGCCGTCAAGGAACCACAGCCAGCTTTTCCTAATGCATTCTGAGAAGGGGTAAGTGTTTAAAATCCACCTGATTCTGCTCTTCAGTGGATATGTAGCTAATGATTGAATTATTTCCACTGGCGGAGCGGGGCCCTCAATGGCGCGTGCTATTTCGCCAGAATTTTCTGCATCATGTCTATGATGGAAAATGATCTGGAAAAATGATTGATCGTGCATTGCACTTCCCCAAAAAAATACTGGATAATCTTTTGTTTCTTGTGATACCTATAGTTGGTCATAGGAAGGCAGGCAGGTATTTTTGCAATTGTTGACTTCCTTCATCTTGATCTTGGTCTTGGTTCTCTATATTGATGTTCATTGCTGTAAATAAGTGCGAGCACCAATATGACTGAATGGAATGGACATGAGCAAAACAGATGTCAGTTGATTTGTGAATTTCGGCAGTCTTATGGCATATTCAGAAGGTGACAGATGTTCTGCCACTCAAGCGACTTTCCGGATTTCGGAAACGAAACCAGTTAGAACCGGATAATACCTACTGCATTTCTCAGTCGGCAGATCTCGATCGGGCATTCAAGCGCCATGGAAAGCTCGGTAGTGTCAGCGCAGTGCAGTGGCTGGCATTTATCTATCGCTGTACCTAAGCCGTAAGGCTCATTTGGTGATCTCCAATGATCATAAGTTCCGGAGGTATGGATAAGATCATCATAAGCTGTGCTGGGGCGGACATATGGATTATGGACTGCCACTGTACCTACTCCCAACGCCCGGGAGGGCCTTCCTTGGTCTCTCTCTCTCTCTCTCTCTCTCTCTCTCTCTCTCTCTCTCTCTCTCTCTCTCTCTCTCTCTCTCTCTCTCTCTCTCTCTCTCTCTCTCTCTCTCTCTCTCTCTCTCTCTCTCTCTCTCTCTCTCTCTCTCTCTCTCTCTCTCTCTCTCTCCCGTCCACTTCCTCGGCCCTCTGTCTCTGACTCGGTCGGCGTTTTCAATGTTTTTCCCCCATGTTGGTGATGAAACATAATTGTTTATTGATGCACATTTCCATTCTAAATAGTATTGCTACCTAGCATTCTACCTAATAGCTTTTTATACTGGGAAGTGGGAGTTGTTGTGTGAACTGCAAATGTTTTATGACGTGTTCTTGTTACTCATTGGCCCAGCTGGGTACGTCATTCGACACGCGCTCTGTTTATGACCGGTATCCTCCGGAACGGAGCAGTGAGTTCGGATATAAAAACCCGACAAAACCACCCGTAGGCTGGCCGCAGACAGGCCATTGGAATTCCCGAACATAATTACATCTACAAACTACACATCTACCCGCCGTTATTCCTGATGGTTTGTCATGATACTCGAATAATGACATTGTGCGTGTTGGTGCCTACTGCCAAGCATAATTTATGTGTAGCTTCTCTTATCCAGCCACTCTTAGAAATTTTAAAGAAAAAACATAATCATAAAAATTATGCGAAGTCTCTTAGTTTTGACGCTCCGCTAATAACGTACCGCTGATAAGCAACAGCAGATGGTAGGTACCTGGAGTGCGAATTTCGCCATGCAACACTCATCTAACATCTGATAGCCTTTATTAGAATATACTAGGGTTACCCGCGTGCTCCGCAACGCGAAGGGGTGATTTTTTGACCCGTGGGTATTGGGTTGGTCTGTGTCGATTTGGTTGGTAGATATCCATTTCGTTCGATTGCTTTTTGACGGCCAAGCATTTTGTAAGAAAACAAAAAGATACATCGCATCGAGGTGCCCGTGTCGTATTATCATGCGTTCTACTTTAGAATGATTCGAAAACTGGCGTGAAGTCTTTTGAGGGCCATCAATGAATTTCGCTAAAAATGACAATGTAATGGTTTGGAACATTTACATTTTTAAGGATACTGTTGCTAATCATGCAAAAATGAAGAGTGAATATTGGACAGAATTGAATGCTCTATCCAATGGTACCATATTCAATTGCCAAAGGTATCAGGTTATGCAGCAAACCCCGTGTGATTAATAAAGTGGCACAAAATTGACAAACACCATTTTCTCCTGTGATTTGCACCACCTTGATTTGGATCAATCAGCTTTTCACAATTTTTATATGAGAGGCGGTACCTTTCTCTTGCAAATAGGCGTTGATTCAATTCGCTCCATTTAACGGTCATCTAAAAATAAAATTAATTCCAAAATCCCTCAAAAACCGCAATTTTTCAAATAAAAGTGCCCTCTCCGGTGCACGTGGCGCGTGTTATCCTCTGCATTGCA